ACATGCAACAATTAAACAATTCATTTATCTTAATTTGTCTGCAATTTCTCTCTTCAATTCTCCGCCCCTCCCTCTCTCTTACTCTCTTTCTCTCGCTCTCTCTCTCTCTGTCTGTCTGCTTCTCGCTCTGTTTGGATCTCTTTCGCTTGCCCAGCTGTCTGCGGCGACTGCTGTTGCGTTTGTTTCTTTATTCGTGCGCATTGTGAGATGTTAAAAAATTTGAAATTAATTGCAGCGCCTGCTGCTCATCGGAGCCCCTGTCCCTGCCTCTGCCCCACGCCTTGCGGGACCCGGCTCTGACCCGGGCCTTTGACGCCCTTGCCGCATTGCGAGCTGGTGTTTTATTTTGTGCTGTGTCATAATCTTCACACCCAAATCGCAAGGATCTCATGGCTGAGAGATCGCCCTGCATGCTGGCGTTGATGATCTTTGGCTGTAATCTTTTAATAATTTAAGCCAATTCGGCGTAAACCGTTAACGGCACAACACAACAGGCGTTGTCCATTTGTCCAGAGACCATTGGATATTGCCCACTGGCCATGGGCCATGGGCCATATTGGCCCATTGCGCTCCTAAGTTTTGGATTCTGTTTCTGTCGATGCTATCGCCTTTGGTCTTTGCGCTGTGTTAATATTTGCTCATGATGATCGGCTTTTGAGGATGGTCCGCTGCCGGGGCGAGGGCATGGCCCGGGTGTTACCGCTGTCTGAGTTAATGCTGAGAAAACCCTAATTACCGCATTAAGGTGTCAAAATGATGACCATCTCTCCAGACTCTTTGGGCTCCGTTCTGCCCTGTCTGTTCCAGCAACAATGTGGCAAATTTAATGAATATGTCAAGTAGTCAGCGCTCAACGCTCTGTGCCCAATGATAAATCGGTTGGCAGCTTAGAATGTTGGCAAGCAACAGCAGCAGCTCACTGCCTCTTGAAGCATGTCTGATGTATGCTATAGAGTGAATATTTGTATACCGAAATTATCAGTACTTATATATAAGCACAAACTAAGCTCCTGTTAAGAGACCCAAATAAAAGGTATCTCCCAACAGCAGTATTTAATTTTTGAAAGAATCAAGGTGTCATTCGGGAGCATACAAGAACTAATAATCAGGACAATACTTATAAAGGGAAATGGGTTTGTAAATCGATGTTTATCATTCTTGGGTGAGCACAGAGGGGGAACAAATACTTGATTAATATATATGATTGGTATTCTACATACCAAGTTCTTTATACGGGGATAGATGTACATGTCCGTGCTTGATTTTAAACATATTTTGTATATGGTCGGAGAAGTATTCTTTTGCTTTTTACCTACTATTGCCAAATGTATTAAACTATTATAATTATAATAATCTTAATCTATAATATAGTATTTATTACTTTACTTTACTTTTGTATTATTCCAGTGTTTATATTACAAGCGAACTTTACTGATTTCAAATCCTTTAAGAAATAATCATCATCTAATCGAAACTGTCTATTGATTAAAGAAATTCGTGACATAAACAAAATTTATATGTTTTTTTTTTTAATGGGCCACAAAAAAAAACTTGAAAAAGACTTTAAATATGGATTTATTATTCTCTATGTTAAAGATTGAAGTTATATAGTTCTGCAAATGTAATCAAGAAACAGTAATTTGTTATTCGATTATATTAACTAATACATTATGCTTAAAGGCAAAGTTGATATTTGGTTTCAACTTAATTGTATTGTATTGGCATTCGTTTTTTTTTATTTAATTTGCCTACGTATTACGCAAGAGTTCTGTAATAACTAAGAAATTATAACTGCAAGTGGGCTGGGCAAGTGCAACAGTCTTGGCCACTTTCCAATAAACTTTTACCAAACGTTTATTCCAGGCCAAGCCCCAAATAAAGACAACAGGTCATTTCCCATACCCATTCTGACCGACCGACCAGGCCGACCGACCGGAACGTGCATGGCCAAAGCGATTGAGGAGTGAGCGAGCAGAGAAGCCAACCAACCCAAAAAGAACCGATTAAGCGGACCCGGTCCGAACCTTTTCCCTTTTGCCACATTCTTCTCTGTGTGTGTGTGTGAGTGTGTGTCTGCCTTCTTTTTTTTATATTTTTTTTTGCGCCTGGACCTGCAGTCCATTGGGTCTTCAGTCGCAGGTCTGGAGCTCGATTTTAGTTTGCGTTTGAGTTTCAGTTTGAGTTTGAGTTTGAGGTCCAGGTCCAATCGCTGGTCCGTCGGCTGTTCGTTCCATTTTAATAACATTAATTAAGGTGTTGCCTTCGTTGGTGTTCTTCACGCCTTTCCTTACAAATTACGCAGGAATTTCATGTTTCAGGTTTTGTTTCTCCGGCCACGAACCGGGAGACGTTGCTCGAGCGGTCTTAATAGTTGTTCTTTAAGCGCCCCGTCTGAAGATCTTGTCTCTCTCTCTCGCTCTCTCTCTCTCTCTCTCTCTGTCCCACTGGACTTGGACTGCAATTTGGCTAAAATTGTTGGCAGTGATCAGCGTCTCTGATAGCTGGACATAGGCAGTCCTCCGCATCAATGCAGTAGGTGTAACAGTTTACAAATTAAGCCATTATGGGAAAGTTTTGGCTATATTTTGGTTAAATCTGGCGCCATTTTAAGCGCCACTTGAAACAAAAAAGGCCGCCAAAAAGAACTTTGATCTACGAAACGACATAAAAATGCATTTTTTATTAACATAAAATGCACATTTATAAGCCAGCTGAGCAGGAGCAACTGAAGAGAGCGTGGCAGAGGGAGCCAAGGTCAGTTTTGAGGTCAATGGCATAACACTAGCTGACTGAGAAACTTATATATGCATTTATATATATGTATATGTATATACCAATAAATATATAGAGAGCTGGTGAGATTTTCAGAGCGCCAGCATCAGCGCCAGCGCCAGTTTAGTTTGTTAGATGGATGACTAATAAGCGTCGCCACAATTAATTGAAACCCACTGATATGCATCTACCGAATGGCTCCAGATACAAGCAAATCTCATTAACGCGCCCAAGATAAAGCCACTGAATCTGTGTATCTGCAGCGGGCCCCAGCGACGAGTATCTCACCATACATTTTGTTCAGTCAAGTGTACGGGCCCGATGCGATCGTCGATCGTCGATCTGTCCATTTGTCCATTTGTCCCATCGGTGGCATTGGCTCAGACCCACAGAGCCGCAGACTCAGCTCGGAACAGATCCCATTCGAGCCTTATAAATGCATGCAGATACAGTTTTGGAAGTCAAGCGGTTTGCATTTGTACGATAAATAAAATGAATGCGATTGTTAATTAGTTGTTGCTGTAGAGCCGAAGATGTTGCTGCTGCTGCTGTTGCTGCTTGTGGCTGTTGCCGCTGCTGCTGTTGTTGTATCTTATCGCTGGCATGGGCTTGTTTTCTCTGAGATTGACCTGGCCCAGTCAGTAGGCAAATGGAATGGAATTCGGGCATGTTGGGCATCTGCTTGGGGCATCTCATTGCGTTCTTTGCATATCAAACTTAAGCCAAGATTGCCGAGGATGCTAAGCTGAGATTATCCGCTGGAAATAGTTTTGGGCTCGGTTTTTAGCGATTGCTTTTGGGCGTGTGTGTGTGTGTGCTTCGAAAGCGCTGCCAGACATTTAATATGCAAGAGTTGTAGCATCTTATCGAAAGAAAACTAATCAGTTGCTCTACATAAAAATTGGTTTTGTTTATATTAATTTTATATAATAATAAATCTATATATTAACTCATATGTACTTATAATCAACAAGAAAACCTCATCGAATACCCTAAAAAACTAGCTTAAGATAACTTATGACAGTTCCTCCTCCATTTCGATTTTGGATCTACTATAAAATAAAGCGCATACATTAGAAATATTTCTTTCTTTCTAAAGTTGTTAGGTACAACTAAAGCATATTAAGTTGTCTGTGAAAATTGATTCAATTTAAGATTATAGAATAATTTCTACATTAACTCAAACTTTTTATTCATAAGTTTATGACACTGAGTTTTTCATGAAAAGTTAAATTATATGTTAATAAAATCGCTGCATATTTTAATTGCTTGCATTAAGCGACATCTATTTGATTTTTGAAATTATGCAGTCAAATCAATGATCCAACAATCGGACGATAATTTATGCATAATCGCAAATCAATTTTCTGTTTTGTTCGAATGCGATTTTTTGTGTTGTTTAGGCAAATTTCTATAGATTTTAATCTCGTGTCGACAACAATAAAATTGTGTTAATTTATGGGAAAGTCATTGGTCTCCGCTGTATCCGTAGCTAACAGATACAGATATAGATACGCGCTACTGTTAGTTGACAATGCCCGTTGACAGATAGATACAGATACAGCTACAGCTACAGCTGTAGATAGAGATGAAGATACAGCTACAGCTATCAAAGCTGAACTTGTTTTTCAATCGGTTTTTGCTGTTGTCTTCATTAAATTACGTTTAATCATTTATGCAGATTTCAATCAATGGGCAAAGCGATTTGAGATACATTTCCGTTTAGCATAAATATCTAAAGTTGATATCAATTTAGCTGCTTTGATATTCAATTTGTTGCAATTAATTGAAATCTACCAAACTGACTGCTTATAGAGATGACAACAGCTCGCGTGACAAAGCACGAGACATGTTTGGGCTATATAATAATAATTAAACGATATTAAATATTCGAATATTTAACATATTTACCATGAGTACTTATATACACGAAGAAATCGATTATGTGTTCTCGTGCGTGTTTGTGGTAATTGTATTTATAAAACTGATATGAAAATACTTTAAGAATGTTCTAAAATATATTTTGAAAACCTATGAAGATTCTCAATATAACTATTTTGAGTTTTGAAACTATAAATAAAAATAACAAAAATGATTTAAGTTCCTTGAAGTATAAATTATTTAGGCTAATATTTAACGAACAAAAAAAATTGTTTTCCATTTTAAATTCGTGTAGTATTTAATGTAATGCGCCACGCGCCCATCTCTAGTTGAAAGTAGTCAAGAAATTTAATTTTTTGTTATTGCTTTTTATTTAGACTATTTACAAGCTTACATGGTTCATGCAATTGAGGACACGTAAGTAGTTTTTACAGCTAGAATGGCCTAGAGCCTGGCTAAAATCAACTCGTTTACTGTGTGTTTTTTTTTACTCTCTAGTGTTAGTTAATACTTAAATGTGGACTGCAGCAAAACGTTGTGTGTTTCAAACTGTTGTTTATCACGCGAAATGGAAAGCTTTCAAATATGTTCATGACTATGCCGAAATCGAAACCCCAAATACCCATACCCCGTACCCCCGCCGCCGAAGCTAGGGCCCCATCTAGAGGCAGGTGTTGACCTCGCGATGCTCCAGGCACTTCTCGCACGTCACCTCACAGCACCATTTGAAGACGCAGTTGCAGTTGGTCCACTCGGTAACCACACGATGCTTGTGGCCCCGACTGCAGCACAGCAGATCGCAGCTGTCTTGGCCCATCGACGTGGCATTGCATTCCCTGTCCTGCGTGCCCAGCGCTCCGGTCTTCGCGTTCGCTGTGCAAAAGTCTGCGGAATCATCCGCATAGACCAGCTGGTATTTGTTCGCCGGCTTCGTGTGCGGCGTCTCTGGCATAAAACTGTTGCCGTCGTTCCGTAGCGCCACCTTGCGCGCCCCATCGTATCTATCCCGCAGTCTTGCCGATATCTCACGAAACGGCGGCATCTTCAACCAACAGGTTTTCACCGTGCACGACCCGGACAATCCATGGCATTTGCACTCCAAACGCATCGCATCGCGAATTGCCTGAAAGTGTGTATAGAGTTGGTAGCAAATATCGTCATATTAAAAACATTGATATTTTAAACGGCTTGGAGAGGTCTGCTTACACATTGATTACTTCTTTCTTAAAATTTACAATTTTACTTTAACAAATTTAGCTTGTAATCATGAAATTGATTGGACTAAAGATATGTCATATTCTTTCGCAAAGTTAAGCAATTATTGAGATGTATATATTTAGAAAAACCATAAAAAGTATAATATGAAACCTTTAAGTGAGTGCAAGTTTAAGTCCAAATTCTGGATAAGATTATATGATCTTTAACTTTTTAGATATTTTAAGCTTTAAGTCGATATTTAAATATTTTATTGTATTCGGATACGGATTCAAATCCCTGCTAATAATAATGATCTAGTTTTGTCTTATCTACAGGGATTATTTGCCAGTGCTATTTGAATGTTGGGTTGTAAGTTTCGTTACTATCTAGTAAATATATAGTGACAATAACAAAATCAATTTAATATTTTTATTGTTGGACATTAAAACACCTGAATGCCACTAGCTTAGAGTGAATATAGCTTTCAACATAGACATATCCAAGACAATCGCGTCCTCCTTTCCATATCACAAAATACTTAAGATAACGGTCAATGAGCGATATTGATCCAGTTCCAATAAATCATTTATCAGTTGTACCAAATATTTTTCATTCTAATTGATCTGCTATTACAGCTAATATTATTCCTAATACTTATTCTGATTTCAATAGTACAGCTGATACCTTAGCTTGAAATTCTGATCCGTCTTTACCCCTTGCTATTCAGATCGGTCGATTTTCCGACACTTTTCCAAGCTAGTTAATTTACTCTTCTTCTTCGCTTACCAGTCGCCCGGCGTTGTTGTTGTGCAGCTTGACCAGTGTGCCCAGATCGCTGCGTCGCTGTCGCTGCTTGGCATCCAGGAAGGCGCGCGAATGTCGCAGCCCGAAGTTGACATTGTCGCTGCAGCCGCCCCACTCCCATTCGCCCTGCGGAAACTTGATGTTGTCCCAGAACTTGCGGCGTCCTCGCCTGCCGCCCAACCGATGGTTGTTGCGTTGCCTGCCAAGAGAAATATCCGTCATGCTGTTGCTGTTGTTGCTGCTGTTGTTGTTGTTGTTGTGGCCGCGCTGCTGTGATGGCAACTGTTGACGCAGCAGCGCAGCTTGCTGCTGCCGCTCGAGCGCTGCCTCCGCGGTGGCCGCATTCACCATTTGGGGCTGGCCGCCATTGCGGCGCATATGCGACTTGTCGCAGGAGCATTCCACCAGTTGGCCCATGGTGCAGGCCTTGGTCACCGCGTAGGTAACGCCCGCCGCTGTTATGGCATTCACAAAGCCCGTCTCCCGCGAGTCTGTGCGAAAAGATAATAAGAAATGTAATCAATAGGCAAGCAAAGAAATCATATGTGCGTACTTCTTATAAATAACTCTTCTCATATTTTGTATATAAATATTATATATTCACAAAAAAAACCTATTATTTGACATAGGCTTACGCACAAATCGATTGCAAAAAAATTCAATAGAAATATATATAAAGTTATTGATATGATTTTTATTGAATATTTATAATATTGTATGAAAAACATTTATCTCAAAGTGTTAAATGTGACTTGAACTATGCCTTGTCAAACTTAATTGTCATGCTTTTGTTTTTGATCTGCTTTTTGAACCTTCAAAAATCGCATAATCAATTTGTGAAATATTGAATTAAGGTGTTGCCCCATGTTGCTCATTTACATATTAAGAGGCTAGCAAGAACTAAGACAGCAAAATAAGAAAACTAAATGTCATCAAAGATCATGCCAAGGCGAAGAACTCTACCAAATTACATGAAAAACAAAACGACTGGAACTGCCCAATATTATGCTTGAGATACGATAATTTGATATTTTAATATTTGCGTTCGATTAAACAATTGTTGAGAAAAGCTGATATTGAACTTGACATGTAATTGTCTGTTATCAGACACCTAATCCAGTTTGCAAAGCCCAATACCCTAGACAATTGTTGCTTTAGAATCCACAGTCTATAAAACTGAAGCATTTAATGGCATTTAATTGATCTAAGTGCTGTTTTAAATAACGATTAACGATTAACGTTTCGATCGATAATTAATCGTTCATTTGCACAACGTGCTTAGTCTGATTAGGTCTGTCCGCATGCATCGTCGCATGATTGATGCCAATTTGTCAGCTTTGGTGACAAAATGATTTATTGCCGCCTCGATAACCGATCGCTGATTACTCTATGCAAATCAGAGAGTGACTCGAGCCGCGCTGTCATCGACTGCATTGCAGTCACGTTTAATGAAATCGAAATCGCAGTTGTAATCGCACCACATCGCCCAGCGATTTGCATATGCTTGTAATGCGAGTACGAGCCGAGCCGAGCCGAGCCGTGGTGTGGATTGAAGTGGAGTGGATGCGGAGCGGTGTGGACAGGTGATATGTCTTTTTGGACAGTCACCACCCCAAATGGTGCGACCGAACGGCATTACATGGCCAGCAACAGCAGCAGCAGCAGCCTTGGAGAAAAGAGTCTTCCTTCTCCGATAGCTGACAGCTTGACAGGGACGCAGTTTTAATCCGCGTGGCGTGGAATTTATTGCAGATAATTTGGTATGTGTTTTGTTTGCGCATTGTTGTCATTAAGTGCAGCAGCAGCAGCCGAAGGAGCAGGGTATATGCACCCGAGTGCCTTTTGACCATTTCGGGCAATAATTTATTAAAATTGACAGCTTTGTAGGCTCATTTTAGGCGCTATTCATCAGCGGGCGCAACATTTTTATTATGCAACTTGATGGATGATGCGGTCGCCTGCCGCCTGACAGTTTGCCAGCCTCGAAGACGAACACGAAGACCAAGACGAAGACGAAGACTGCGACTTGGAGCTGTAATTAGGCAGCATTGCGGGCAACTCTTCACCAGAGATTTCCAGTCTGAGTCAGCGAGTCAGCGAGTGTTGACAGGCTGCCAGTTTGTGCTGCATAATAAAGCAGCGCCGTTTGGCCTTTTGTTGTCGCCATGCATGTGCCCCATGCATGCATCTCTAAGTGTATGTATCTGTATCTGTATCTAGTAGTTGCATTTAGTTGCCACTTACCGCGCATTAGGATTTTCCTCATGCTCTTGCGCAGCACCGTGCAGTTCCAGCGGCGATTGCGAAACTGAAATTCGCATTCGCGAAAGCCCAGATTAATCCCATTGATGATCTCTTTGAGCAGCGCCGAGTCGTGCCGGCAGATTTCGGCCAGCTTGCCACGTAGACGACGTGTCTTTTTGCACATTAGATTTGGATCGAGTAAAATGTTTGTGCCCTCGGCCCTGAAAGAAACGAAAATTCGAGAGCACCTTATTAAAATTGATATGTAAATGCATAAGCATGTCTGCTAAATCGATATGCCCCATGATAAATGAGTGTTTGGTAAATTAATTAGCTGGCCAATGCATTAGAGCGATATAAGATATAAAATATATTAAAAAATAATTCCATTTAATTCCAATGATTTTTTCTCTGTGTTTATATCTTTACATTATATATAAATAATATGTTGTTGCATTAATTAATTATGATTAATATATGTACATTTTATTAAATAAAATAAATTAATAATCATGGTATGATGTTTGCTCGAAATTTAGAACTTTCTGTTTTAAGCTGTCAGAATGACAGACAGTAAATTTAAAATTTTCAAAATTTTAGTAAAGCATTTTAAAAAAATTGTTTATTATTTTAGGGGCTGTTAATAAACGAAAGCTGAAAAGTATTGAAAAAGTTTATATTGAAAATTATGTTTCAAGGCGTATGCTTACTATGTAAATATCTGAGAAAATTTGAATTACCAGAGGCTACCGTATCAACGTAAACGTATATCATTTCCACTACAAATGAATATATATAAATCTTAAGAAAGCTTTTTCATTTCGTTTAAATTTTCAAAATTTCATTTGATTAAGTTTTATATATGAATTTCGATTTTGTTATTATTATTATTTTTTATATTTATTATTATTTATTAATTACAAAATTGCTGGCGGATTCTTGGCAAAAATATATTTAAGAAAAAATTGGTGCCTTCATCTCTTGCATCCAATAATAAATTTGAAGTTTTTGATAGATATTTTTCATTTTCTCAACAGTCAAAACTGCAAAAGTTGTTGTGCCTAGTTATTAGCTGTGTGGCGCCTAGATATGCAACACTCGCATCATTTAGCTGAGAAGTTCATTAAAAATAGTTGCATTTATTTATGCTGGTCTGCTAAAAAGCCGCAAAAAAGATTCGTTTATTTGCACAGAATAAGGAAAACAAGGCGTTCGGCAGTTGAACTAAATTTCTTTTTAGTGCGGCTGATGTAGCGTATACGCAATATGGCGCATCGTTTGCTACGATAGACTCTATACGCATGCATATGTGCACTCCCTACAGCCACACACACACACACACAAACACAGGCAGAGATGAGACACGCACACACACAGACAGGCACTGTGGCACACAGTTCGCAATTGGTTTGTTTATTGTTATAAGCGAAGCGGCGGCGCTCAATAAAATTGTGGCCCCACACACACATGCACACACACACACACAAGGCGTATACACAACACCCACTTGATTTTTTTTTTTAGCAATTTTCTCAATCGATGCAATTTTCGTTTTCATTTTGAATGCCATTTGGAGCAGCAGCAGCAACGGCAGCGGCAGCAGCGTTAAAATTTAATTTAGCTGGAAAATTAATAATTACGTGCAGCGTACAATGTGGGTGCAGCAGCCGTTGAGCATGCGTCGCTGCAGGGCCCAAACAGTTGCCCAGGGCAGGGGCTCGGGTGTGGTGCAGTTGGCAGCCCCTGCTGCCCTCCGTGGCGCACCAGCACCTGCCCCACTGGCTGCCGCATATGGTGCATATATGTGTCAGCCACTGGGCAGCGGCGGCGGCGGCGGCGGCGGCGTTTAAATTGTTTTTGTGTGCGCGCCTTTGGCGCTGATTTATGTTTTTCCATTTCAGATTTATGACTTTTTAATAGCTCAATTGTTTTTCGTTCGCATTTTTGTTGCTGCTGTTGCTGTTGTTGCTGCTGCTGTTGTTGTTTTCATTTTTCCGCTCTTCACATTGCACATTCGCGTGAAATTTGCTTTGCTCGTGAACTTTGCGCAATTTAAGTTGCAAGTTTATGTTTCGGGGCTGGGTAAATAAAGGCATTCGAAGCGTTTTATGGGGAACCCAACACGCCAACAGCTACTGAGAGAGACGGATTCAGCTCTGTGATTGATGTGCGGCCATCGGTCTATTGGTTTGTGTCAGTCTTGACCGCCCCCGTCCGCGCACCTCGCCCGCCCGCTTGCCCCTTTGCATGCTCTTCCAAGGAATTTGCGTTATTTTTAGCAATTAATGGGGCAATTCACAGCGCCGAGCAGCCAGCTGACTCAGCCCAACCGATGGGGCCAAAGAAATCACTGCTTCAAAAATCAAATCGGCAACTTCAAAATGTGCTAGACCCTCCTCTGCACTCCTCCCTACACTTCAGTTATTCATTGATGACAAAGAGCTGATATGGCCATAGCCAAGCCCTTTAAACTTGTCATAGATATGCCACACTTGGCTTATCGTTCGCCAATTCATGTATAACAATAATTTCCAGTGACTAGGCCAACTGATAGAGTGTGCAAGTTACCCTTGTGGATATTGACAAATGTGAATAATATTAATTATTATTCATTAGAAATTTCACCAGGCATATAAAGCAGGTGAAATTTATATATGGCATCTAGGTAGGAATATTTATTAAATATGATTATTATGATATGATGCATAATAATACATACTACCTGTTGCATATTGAACATATGTTCAGTATTTATGTAATACTCATTAATTATTAAAATATATGAAACAATTTTTTAAGGAATTAAATCTTGTTCATTATTAAGTTAAGACTACTTCATGTATGTACTTCATGTCTTCATGTAATAACGAAAAATATTAAAAGATACAAATCAGAGATTGTTTGTTCGATTATCAACCTACTTTTGTAACATGCATTTATATATTAATAATTAATCTGGTCCGGATATATATATATGTATTTATGTATATTTATTTTGACACATATTTATACTGCAACCCCTGACCTCTACGCTGGCTAGACATGTTCTATCATAGATATTCCACTAAATGCTACCTGTGGTTACCCATTTCTAATTCAGCACATTTCCCCATATATTGCCTTAAAGGCACTTGAACAGGTTTGATGCCCCAATTTGCCCACCTGGATCGCGCTATGCCCACCTGGTGGTGGCCATGCCCTTGTCTCTGTCGCACTTGCCGCTTAACGATCTATCTTTATCTATCTATATAGGTTTTGTGTGCCTGCGGCAATCACTCGATCTCAATGCGAGCCAAGAGATTATGACAACTTAATAGCTACAAAATCTTGAAAACAAATAGAGCAGACACACGCACACACCACCAAAAATATGAGCTGCAACAACAACAACAACTGAGCACCTCCAAAAGTCAAACAGCAAAGAGCATAAATGATAGACGCGCTTGTAAACACCACAAAAACAACAACAACATTGAGCTAAAACAATTGAAGTTCGCTGGCGAACGATGATGATGAGATCGCAATGATTCGGATCTCGAAGTCGATGCGCTGATGACTGGAGAGATCTAAAGAACTCAAAACTCAAACACCTTTCAAGCGTGCAGAGCGCGTAACCACACAAGTTGCCAGCAGGCAACAACAACAACAACAGCAACAACAACAAACACGGGGAGTTTTGGTTAAGCGGAAAATAGCCGAGGCCGATATGAGGATGATGCTGCCGATGTGGCCGACTCGCAGTCGTCCGTTCGACACTTTTTGGTTTTTGAAGTTGAAGTTTGCTTGGCAGCAGCCGCAGAAGCAGCAGCCGGCAGCAGCCGGCAGCAGCAGGCAGCAGCAGGCAGCGACGCCAGCAGCGCAGCTGTCGGCAACTTGAAACAACTAAACAACTTCAGTCTGCCAGTCCCAGGTCCCAGTCCAGGCAACTTGCAACTGGCAACTGGCAACTGGCAACAGGCAACACTTGGCCGCGACGTATCTTTATTTTGCTTTCACACAACCGAGAGAAGCGAAGCGATTTCAACTCCAAGTGTGCCCCTATTGCAGATTGTTGTTGTTGTTGGTGTTGGTGTCGTTATAGGCCTCAATGGATTTTCAGTGATTTTTTTCTTTGATCAAAGTGCCCGGTTTGATGGTAGCCACTGACAAGTGGTTGAAATTTCCCATACCCAACCCATGCCACGCCAAACCGATCTACAGTCCACCGCTCTCTCAGCTGTGTTCTACTCTAACTTGAAGGGCATAATAGCTGGCATGCTATGTTTGTCACATATACCTTGTACACAGCTAAAATGAATTGTTGGCTTTAAAAAATAGATTTCATGTAATAAAGTTTTGTAAAAGAAAGAAAAGAATACTTAAAATATTTTACAAAAATAAATCTGAGTTCAGCTGGCGGTCCTAAAATAATAATGAAAATATTGGGAAAAGATTTATATTTAACACTTTTTTTTTATTTAACTATGAAAAAGCCTTTTTATTTTAACAGGTTATTTATTTATGTTATGTTTCCCAATAAGTGCTAGTATTTTAAATTTCCTAGATTTTGTTTATTATTTTTCTAGAACTACATTTATTCCAATAGTTGCTTATGCACTTTAAAATCAAATTGTCTTATAAGGACTTATTATCTTCCCCTATTCGGCAATATTTTATTTATTTTCTCTCAATTCGTGCTCTGATATCATGCACGATATTATCAGCTAAATGATTTTTGAATGTGCTTCGGAGATAAATCAAATTATATTTATTTTCTTAGGATCCATATTAAAGGTTTTTTTTTAGCTTATGTATAGCATATAATTAGCAAGTTTTTTATCATAATCTTATTTTAAGTTTTATTATCTGCATCGAAATAAGACTCTATCTTAATATTTCCCTAATATTTCTAATATCTATACATTTGATAATTTCTTTTTGAGGAAATTTAAATTTGTTCCATTTCCTCTTCCTTTCTGAGACAGCCATAATTAGTAACATTTAAGGATGTAAAGAATTAAATTCTTGTTAGGGCATTTGAAATTCGTCATGGTATTGTTTGCTGTCCCTTTCCCTCTTATTTTCTATGTAAATAGACAGTCACAATGGATGCAACTTCGTTTGATTGACTCATTTTCGTGAGTCGCCGTCGCAGTCATCGCCAGTTGGCATCTCCGGCGGTTGTCCGTGCCGCATACCCTCGCGGATTGGAGGTGCCACTGACTGCGCCGAGTGCGTTGCA